GCCTGGAAGCATGTCCCTTTACCTGCTGAGCTGTTTGGCCAGACAAAACTTACACTTTTCCAGATAGTAGAATAATAGAATAAAAATGTTAAAATGACAGAATATCAAGATTTATTAACTCTGTCTTATTTTATCGGAAATATTTGATTGGTGTTGGTTCAAACTGATTACTCTCATTTCACAGTTCTCTGCAATTTGTATAAATATGTGCTATATTTTCATTCCATTTATGAGATCAGGCAGCTTATGATTGACTGGTGACAGGTCCAGTCTTGTGCAGGCCCATTGCAGGCAGGCCCAGCTGCTGCCAGATCACGGTTGCCTTGGTTATGTTATACCCAGAAGCATTTTAAGGTCCCTCTTCTATGTCCTGGCTCTTATATTTTTTTTCTGGCTCCTCTTCTGAGATGCTTCCTGAGCCTGGATGGGATGGTATAAACATCCTGTTTAGGGCTGACCACTGACCTTTCACTTATTCCCACCACCTTGAGCAATTTCTACATTTACCATCATTCAGTGCAAAGAGAAGCTTCTCTGATCAAGGCTGAGGCAGCATTTGTGTATGGCGTAAACACAGATATTTAGATGGCAGCTTAGAGCAATGTTAATTAAGCTAAACAACAGTGTGCTCCCCCTTAAGGCCCAAGACCTCCTCAGCCAAGAGATTTTGACTGGATTATCAGAGAGCAGTTGGTTACCCCCTAATAGTCATGCCACTGTTGTACCAGTGGACACATCCTGCCTGGGAGGTTGATGCTGAAGTTTGGAGGGTCCACAGGTGGAGAAGACTACTGATGGTTTTTCTTGCCCAGCAGATCGCATAGCACCTTTCAACACTATGAAAGCCAGCCAGCAGGAAAGAGGCAGAGATGTGGTTGGAGGGCTGGGGGAGCTGCAGGGGAAGGAGGGTAATCTGAAAGGTGCATGAAAAAAGCCACAGGGAAACTATTATTTTAGAAGCGTCCTCCAGAGATGATAGACAGATGGACGGACGGACAGATAGATGGATGGATGGATGGATAGATGGATGGACAGATGGATAGACAAATAGATAGATAGATAGATGTTCCTAAGAGTCATGGGTTGTAACAAAACACCCCACTGTCACGTGTGGGTGTTCCTATGAGCTGCTGGTCAGGGAGGCCCCAAAGGTGGCCTAAACAACACAGGCTCCTCTTATCCCTCTTGGTTCTCCAACAGAAGCGGTTGATAAGACCCAATTGCTGGAGACACCACACACCTTGATTGTAAGACACAGAGAAATCAGGCTGGAACTGCACTGGAAACTTCTTCCCTGGTGGACTGTGAAGATTTTACTCAGGTCATCAAGTTCTAATCTGGGCCATTAACCGGGAGCACGTACGTCTTAGACGGAAACCAGTTGTTTCTGATCCTCCCTAAAACTTGTCCCTATGTAATTATTAACTAGGTTTCTACCTGTACCAAGTTCAAGGTCTCTTTTCTAACCTTACTTAACTTTCAGTTTTGAGAATATCCGGGTGGCAAGGAGCTTGTCCCTAGAGGTTTCCTGTGAGGGGCCTTCTTACTTCTGGTTTTCTGTTTTTCTTCTTTCTTTGTTTCTTTCTTTCTTTCATTTTTTTGGTCATTTTGGTTCCTGTAGCCCCAGCTGGCCTGGAACTCGCTATGTAGACCAGGCTGGCCTTGAACTCACAAAGATCCATCTGCCTCTGCCTCCTGAGTGCTGGAATTAAAGGTGTGTGCCGCCATGTCTGTCTGCTTCTGGTTTTCTCAGTCCTTTAAATGGTCTCTAAACCTTGCTCTGGGATCATGAACTTTCTGAGGCATCTTGGAGCAAGACTCACAGGAGAGCTGGTAGACAGGGGAGCTGGGAGGCAGGCCAGGACCACCGGCTGTCGCTGCTGAAACAGACAGCTGTTCCACCAGCCCTGGTTCCCTAAGGTGAGTGCTGCATGAGCCTCAGCTGGGTTCTGGGCAGGAGGAAGGACGGGGGGAGGAAAACAGGGCATGAAACTGGGGTGCAGGGAGGACAGGCAGAGTTGTATCTGTTCCTTCATCGTACAGGAAGGTGTGAGGGGAAAATACAGGGATGCTGAGCCAGGTTTGAGACATTGCCCTCTCCCTCTCCTGCCGCCCCCCTGCATCTCTGTCCATGGCATCTTTCCCTTCTTGAAGGAGAAGAGCTCAGGGAAGCCATTGGCAGACTCAGAACATGGCTGTTCAGATGAGGACTGTGTCCCTGGGAAGGGGAAGTGAAAGGTCTGTGTGTGAGTGACGGAGGGGCTCCTGCTGTTTTCTGGGGAAGACACTGCAGGTGCCTGAGAGCTCCAGGAGACCATTTCTTAAGAGCACGGTGAACCCTTAGCCATGGCTCTCTAGCCTTGAGAATCTCCTTCCTGTGTTTTCCCAGCTATTTGCAGGCCCGCCCTCTGGGGCACCATGCTCCGCACCCTGGGGAAGATGCTGAGTTCCCTGAATGTCTCTCTGCCAGGCGGCCTCTTCTCCGTCCTGCTTCTGCAGGTGTCCCTGCGGGTCTCAGGTGAGAACTCCGGTTTTTATAGACATGGAGTCTCTGTTCTCTGAGTTGAAGCATCAAATAACTTTTAAGTTCTCTACATGCCTGCGTTAATTGTAAATCCTCATCTGGTAAAATGACTGATTTGACCGCCTGTCAGGGTTAAGCTTTGTGAGGAATGCATGTCCTTTGTTTCCCCTCTCTCTTCCCTCCCCCTTCCCGTGCATTCCCATTGCAATCAAGAAGTCACTAGAATTATGTGTAATTATCCCTTCTGATGTGAAAGAAGTCCAGACCCTTGCTCACCACGACTGACCTCAGCTTGCATGTACGCTGCACATACCTGCTGAGTTTAGGCTCCTGGGGCTCTGCTGGGTCAGTGATGATGCCACCCACTCCCTGGATAGTCCAGGAAAGTCTTTCTGACGTCCTTTCCACTTTTGGCTTTATCCCACAGATTCATTCCTAGTCGTCGGCCCCTCAGAGCCCATTGTGGTCATGCTGGGTGCGGACGCTGTGCTCCCCTGTTATGTTGACCCAGCCATGAGTGTGGAGAACATGGAGCTGCGGTGGTATCGCTCCCAGTTCTCAGAGGCTGTGTACATGTATCAGGATGGGATGGAGCAGACAACACAACAGCTCGAAGATTTCAAAAGGAGAACAGAGCTGGTGAAGGATCGCATGTCCGAGGGAAGAGTGGCTGTAAAGATCTAATGTCCGGGTGTCTCTGACAATGGAATGTACCGGTGTTTCTTTAGAAAGGGCAGCGACTTTGAAGAAGCCACTTTGGAGCTAAGGGTGGTAGGTGAGTAGCTATCTGAGAGTGAAGACCACTCTAGGGGAATGTAAGTGTCCTATGTTTGGTTTTGGAGGGATGGTGGGGTCCATGCTGAAAAAGAAGTAGGGATTCTGAGAGATGGACAATATCTTAGATGCTGGCTTTGACCCTTAACGGTCTTGATCTATTGATATGTTTATTGTGCTGTACTTTAAAAGTAAACCAGTTCTAAAAAGTCTATCATAGAATAGGTACTTTATTTAAACTCATCTTCTTCCCACATGTTTTGAAGGAAAGCATCTTGATTAACCAAGTGTACCACTGCCCCCAGAGACCCAGCACCACCTCTGGCTTCTGTGATGAACACAGTCTTGATTGAGAGTATTTGCAGCCAGTCTTGATGGCATGGCCTGGAGGAAGTAACCATGAGCCTGGTGACAGAGTGGGTTGATGCTGAAGGGGAGGGTTGAGGTCAGAGTATAATGAGCATTCGGTCACTCAGAGTGGAGAAAATCATTCTCTGAGTGACTTTGGTGGAAATCTTAAGGCTCAAGATTGGGCCAGTGT